TTTATTACTTACTGTCTGCTATAGTAATAAAGTTAGATGTAATGTCGTAAAGCAATAAGTAGGCTGTATAGATTTACTTTTCTATGCTGATTGCCTTGTTGCCAAAGCCTAATAATAAAATGTACTTTAACCGACTTCAGAAAAAGAGGAGGATGTTACGCGATTACACGGACATTTGTGAACTGATTTCGATGATTCTTTTTTTGTTGGAACGGGGTTATCTCTGTAGTGGCCCCATTCATATTCGAAGAAGAATATTTCGCCTCTAAGAATGGCAAATTAGGGGGTTAATTTGATTTATAGGATTTCACGCACTTTCCGTTACCGATTGCGATAAAACTTGGCAAATAGATGTAATTACACAAATTTTTATGGTAAGTTTTTTTATAAAAAGGTTATAACTATTTAAATTGTATAATCGAATATTTGATTTAGATTTAAATTCAAATTTCAAATTCAAATACTTTAATTCAGATTTCATCCATATTGGTTAGTATAACAAACAAAAACTTACATACTAGTGTTAGAAGATACAAATTCATAAATACGTGCTGGGTTTAGGACATACATGTAATTTAGTCCAGTGTATCGAGTTCTTAGGTTTTCGCGATTGTTATACATAGGAATGAAACTATTTTTCCGGATTTAAATCGGTTAATCGGTAAATCGGTTAAGTCAACCGTGACCATGGGACCTGTAAAGGGCCCGAAACGTCGGTTTGTTTGAAAAAACAAATATACGCGATTTAAATCCGGAAAAATAGTTTCATTCCTTAGTCCAGTGTTCAAAAAATGAACCCTGGACCCTGCCAGCAACAATACCCACAATGCTATTACCGCTGCCACGAACTCTGCGCATCAAGGATGCCGCTCTTTTTCTCATTATGGCGGCAAATCCGTCTACATGAGCATCGGCGAACATTCCTGACGCGCTACAGAATCGCGGCAGCCGCAACAACAACAACAACAACTTTTAACTGAAATTTTTTTTTTATATGATTTAGTTTTCGTTAACGACAACAGACGGATGTCCTGTGAACTCTACGTTTTTGAGTGACCCTAATTTTTACTACGAATTTAGTTTAACTAGGCGTAACTGGCTGCATCCTGATTGTAACTAGTCTAGTTATGTTTTTAAATGAGTTCTATGGCCGTTAACAACGATGTTTTAACTTATAATTTTTTAATAATTGTGTTTAAAATGTTTAACTACTTTAATTGTTGCTGAAGACGATGGTTCCAATCCAGCCGGAACCAATGAATTTTTCTTAGTGTTCAATCTTTGTATTAATAATTATAACAAACTTGTGGAGTAATTTCACAAAAAAAATTGAATATCATGATAGTCAATATTCTTCGTATTATAACTAAGACTTCAAAGTTATAATTCCCCTCTTTTTACGGGTTAGTCCCATCTGATCCCCAAAACTGATCCACCGCAATTTTAAATTGCAACTGATCCTTTATGTATTTTGCAAATCCCGACGTATCCTCTCATTGTATTTGTAAGGTAAGTACAGTGTAGAGGAATTTCTTTTAAAGAAATTGTAATTATATTTTAATTTTGGACGTTTGTATTTTGAAAATATTTAATTTTTGTTTGTATTTTTGTAGTTCGTATTTTTCATTATTTTATATTAACAATAAAATTATCGTTTACATTAATGACGATCATGTTATCCCTTGACATTATATTTCGCATTGTAATAATATGAAATTGATAATATGAAATAAATGATTCTATTCCATTCTACAGTTAAGAGAAAAAGAAGTTTTGAAATCAAATATTCATTTATTGAGTATCATAAAATATCAGTAATTAATGAAATTTATTCTATTCTATTCTAATTATCACAGACAATAATTTTTTTTGATAGGTTTTATTACGTGGGGGGGTTCTTCTTCTTGTCGCGTCAATGACAAAAGTGCAGAGCTATATTTCTTTGGCCCAGTACGCAGCCCCCTCTATACTAACTGCAGCCTTTAGCACGTCTTCGCGGGTGCAGCTGGTCGGACACAGTGGGCACGCTAGCAAGTAAAAAATCTTTGTAACCGTAGAGCTCTTTGTAAAAGAGTTCGTCCAGGGAATTACTGCCACCTTACCTATTTCTGCCGCCAAGCAGTAATGTCAGCATTACTGTTTTCCAGTTTTGAAGGGTAAGGGTGCTGGTGAAATTATAGGCACATGGGACTTGTCAATTTATGTCTCAGGGTGACGGGCGCAGTGGCAGTGCCCCTCAGATCTTTGCGATTTAAAGCTCTGAGTGGCACTGCAACTGTTATGGAAAGGCGCACGACTTGTTCGTCCAGTGACTTGACATTATAAAAAAGTGAGACATACTTATATATTTCACCATGTTGTCTCTACATAGGAACGTCAAAGGGTTATAAAGCAAATATGTTCCCATGTATAATCAATTGTGTAAATACTGATTCTTGATTCTTCAGAATCAGTATGTGAAATACATTGCAAAACTTTAAACTTCATTTATTTCTAAGCAGATCTCGATTAAATCTAGCTTTTTGTCTAGTCGACCCTCACCTCGATTCAGTCTAAGATGTGAGTGGGCATTATTAATGTATAACATTCAAATTAGCTCGATTGTACGTACCCATAGAGAAGCTTTGGCTTAATTAAACGATATAGCGAGGTTATGTTTTTTTTTCTCGAGGACTTTCCTTCAGGGACACCTACTTATTTTCTTTTGAAGTCATGATCAGTGCTTGGTCAACTCTTCTGTGAAAAAAAAAGATATTGAGGTAACTGGTCCCGTGACCAAGATACTCTATTTTGCGCCTTTTGATAGATGGTATCATTTTCCGGGACATATAAACACGCCGAAGCACGGTTTTGTTGCGTCTCTGTGTCCAACCAATGCGCAACATGCCTGCAGGCGTCTTGTAGTGTCCCCTTTTAACACCCACGTTTTGCAGCCGTACATGATGATAGATAGGATACATATTTTATATAAAAAACTTTTCAATATAAATTTCATATATACTATAAAAGCACTTTTCACTGTATTTTCCCGTCTAACGAAAGTGCTAAAGATAAGATGAGTCCCTCTATTCCCACTAGTTCAGTTGTCCAGTTCCGTTGAATGAACTAGTGAGATTTTTTCTCGTTTATTAAGTTGAAAATAAAAGAAGCTTTTGCCTCTGGTTTAGTAGAGATTTTTCACTTCCTCTATTACCACTAGTTCAGTTGGACCCTATAATACTCATGTCCTTCATATACGGACCCGCATCCTGATTTTGATTCAAATTGGAATCGACCCGATCGGGTAGTCTCGAAATCAGGTAGGTTTCTGAGCGAGAAGATGAACCCGATTCCTACTATATCCTTCTAATTTGTGAGTTAAATCAACTATTGTTCCGATTAGAAATGTCAAAAATTATGCGCCTCGACTTGGAAAAGACGCAGCTTCGAATCGGGAGAGGCGATTAAAATCAAGCTGCAGATCTTCACCTCGCTGAATTATATAAAAATAACTATTACTCGTATTCATGGTTATAAAATTATTATTAATTTAATTCAATAATTTCTTTCCCTTTAGGAAAAGGCAAAGGTACAGCCAAGTCTACGTGAATTTTTCTTTTATTGTTTATCAAATTCAAATTCTTTTTCAAATTCAAATGGCCAGCGTTAGACTTAGATAAAAGTAATCCAGAATAATGGTCTCATGTTGGTGGGACTACAAGCAAACAGCAAACTACTCGTCGCGCCACCAGTGGGTCATTACGATGGTATTGCAAATCTAGTAGGGTATCAAGCACATAGTTAAATAAATGAAGAAATGAGGATCAAAATTTCATCAATTCACTCAACTGAAGAAATGGAAAAAGGGTCTCGATAGTTCAGTCAATTGAACAGACGAGAAAAAAAAATCTCAATAGTTCGGTCATCTGAACTGGGCAACTGAACTAGTGGGAATAGAGGGATAAGCCTCGCTAACGTCACTAATGCTAAACGTTACAAAAATTGTATTTTCGCTTGCAACGGCGTTTTAGATTTTACTGTACAAATATAAATATCAATGTTTTCTTCATGAAATTCCTTATCCGAATATCATACTCTAATTAATAATAAAAACTTACTTGACGGAGTTCTGACGCTATGAATTTATTTAGTAAACGTTTTTCGTCACCGTTCAAAGTTTTCAAAATAATTGCTCTAAATTACAACTACTTCCCACTTTTCTAACACCATAACACTTAAGTAGCCGTATTATAACAAGGGTAGAGCTTAGATTGAATACTTTAAAAGATTAACCAATAAGATGAAGAAATTTAAACAAAAACGTAATCATTTGCTCAGTGTGAAACTTTGTTACGTTGAAGTAAACGACGTTAGTTTGAACAGCGTAATGGCATTTGCATTACCCATAAATGGATTTTGTTTGTTCAACGGCTTTCTACAGATGGTGTAAGGAATTAATTTCATATAATACGTATAAATGTTTCTTACGAATATGTATAATTACATTAATCGTGCTTTTTTTCACACAAATAATATATAAATATAAGACCTATCCCAAAGTAAATAACTATAGCGCTAAGGAAATTGGAAACAACAATGGTATCGCAAACACCCAGGCCGGAGACAATATAGAAAAGTTAGTGTTTTCTACATTGCCAGGCTGAGGATCGAACCTCGGATTTGGCGGCATCAAGAAAACCGGTTTCCAAGCCACTCGATCACGGAGATGTCAAAAATACGAAAATAAATATGAAACATCATTTTTTTAATAACGTAATATATAAAGGTACCAATAAAATTGTTTAATATAGAAGAGAAAGTTTCTTTTTCATATTAAATTATAACTTTCTCAAATATTTATTATACGAGTCGAAGCGTTGGAAAAATGGAAGTATAAAAATAAAATCTTCTCTTTAAAGAAGACAAATAATTCACAATGTAGTACTTTAAAAACCAATAAACTATTTGTTTATTGTTTCTTAATGCACAAAAAACTTTAACAATTGAATTGCCTTTTCCAGACTTCCCGGGCATGTGCTTCGCGTCTACCCGCTGCGCTACCGTCGAACCTGGCAACACCTGGGACCTGGCACCCTTCTGCGGCCGTTCCACCTGCGTCGTCAGCGAAGACCAGCCACCACGACTCCTCGAACTGGTGGAGGACTGTGGCCCTCTGCCTTTGGCTAACCCCAAATGCAAGCTTGATACTGGTTAGTAACCCACATTACGCTTGTAGTATTGAATGACAATTGGATCCAGTATCTGTAATATGTCTTTTATATATTAAATAAATAGAGTAAAGGCAGACAGACATAAAGACGGAACGATAACAAGAAAGACAGACAGACAGAATGACAAATGGAAAGACAAAAGAAAAAAGAAAGACAGATATAAAAATGGACAGACAGTCAATCTAAACTCTTCTTTTTATTCGTGTACCTACAAGCTCTACTATTAGCATAATCAGACAGGCAAATAGCCCGAGTCATCATACGGTAGACAGTCTATTTTTTTTGTAAATATAAGGCAAACGCGCAGACGTATCATCGTATAATTTGTTTAATTCCTTATCTTTTATATGTTATATCTGGCAGAACTTTCTATTTGTGTTAATAAACAAAACAAAATAGAAAGTCTCAACTTCTGGTACAAAGCCAGGGAATATAGATGATCAACGTTTTTTTTTGAAAGACAAAATGTTTAGTTCCAATTTCAAATATTTATTTTATGCCGTTAAATTCTGCTAAAGTTTTCATTAACAGAGTAATTGGTATGGTAAGGTGTAACTGGTTTCTGAAACTCGACGACGTAGAGCCCATTTTGCGTGAATAGAGTGATGACACACTTTAACGAGGCTTGAGTTCATAACGTGAATAAGTTTTGGAGTCAATATCAGCCAACTCCTTAGATATATTCCCATAGAAAACGTTCAATAGGTCTTATTTAAATGTGTATATTTTTCTGTTCACAGAGAAGACCAACAAAACCGCTCCCTTCCCCGGCTGCTGCCCAATCTTCACCTGCGAAGACGGCGCTAAGTTAGAGTACCCTGAACTTCCCACTCCTCCCCCAGAAGAAAAAGAAGGAGAGGAAAAGAAAGAGGAAGAAAAGCCTAAAGCTTAAGCCTTAATAACTAAAAAAAAAACAAAACTCTCACAGAAAATTCTAGAACGCACCTTTCGTAATTCAAAAATAATAAAATAAAACTCTCATTTCCTTTGGTTGGTAATGGTCACTGTTACCAATTTACTTCCTGTATCATGTTAATTATAATGTAAATAAGACAAATGTAAGTACAGAAAAAAGCGTTCGAATAAAAAATATATTTAGAACTCTGTGGGATTGAAAAATTGGTCTCAATTACCAAAATTCTATTTGTATTCTATTTTTTTAATACCAGTGACACCATTTCCTAACAAATTTCTAAACGGTTTTTTGTAACAATAGCCGACAATGGCGTACAAAATTCAAAAAGCAACTTCCGATTTCCGGTTCTTTATTCAAATTCAAATTTCAAAGATAACTGTGACAGTATCTGTTACAAAATATCTGTATTGTTTGCATCTAAATGACATTTATTGCATGATAAAGAGGAATGCCTGGAATGCATTTCTTTGAGTGGGTTTTTTTAGAGTTTATCAGTTTTTTACTTGAATACCCGTCTACTTATAATGTTTTGTGATACTGATATATACGTTAATGTAGAAAGAAAGATATTCAATAAAAAATACAAAATTTCTATTTTCTGCAGTTTTATTTCACCAGTTTTATTCCATGTAACTTCAGCCTCAGTAATGGCCGGTGGTTTAAAACCCAATCAACCCGTCCGGTTTTAATCCATTTGTGCCTAAAATGGTACGGAATTTGGTATAATTCCATACTTATTACAAATTTCGATTAAAGAAATCTTTTTTAGACGAAAAAGAGATAACTCCACACAATATCCACTTGGCCATCTTGAGGGTTCTCACTAAGGACATCACGATTCGATTTTTATAAAAATCGATTCAAGTGCATGCGATCTAACGATTTTTTATACTCATTTATTTCAAAACAATTTTCGAATTCGAATCGATTCAATCATCGAATCGTCTAGCAAGAATAAATCAATAAACTATAAGTAATAAAATAGCAACAAACATTTTGTAATAATATCATTAAATTTGAACAAAAGTCGATATAGTTGTGTAAATAGTTTTTGCCCTCGATTTTGGGCGTTAATAGGTTAAATTGCACTGAGTGAAACTCGGGTGCTTGCTCATATTTGCATCATCCTACGTCCGTCCCCTTAAGATGGCGGGTTTAAATCGTGTAATTCTATCGCACACCGTGATATATCTGTACCTGTAGAATATAAGCAGCTTTATTCGCTTCTACTAAACCAGAATTACACCAATTATAAGCCTCTTGACACGCTTTGCAACTGAATCCTAGGTGGCCAGTTGGTATTTAGCAGAGCCATCTCATGGGTATATTTACGTATGTTTGGCATGTCGTGGGTACAAAAGATCACCAATATCGAGGTTCGTCGTCGAATGGGAAAAAAGTTGGTTACAGTCAGAACTGTAAAGCAGCTGCAATATTTTGGCCACGTAATAAGGGGCAACAGATATCGGATTCTTCAACTAATAAGGCAGTGGAAAATCCAAGGAAAGCGTACTCGTGGAAGAAGGAAAACTTTGTGGTTAAAGAATTTGAGAGACTGGTTCCGCCTTGGCATACATTCCCTCTTTCGCGCGGCAGTTTCAAATATGAGAATAGTCATGATGGTCGCCTACCTTCGTAGAGAAGCAGCACACTAAGAAGAAGAAGATCCCATGGGTGGCAGCAGTATACATACACAACCAGACTAGGGCTTGGTGTCAACGAATGAAACCGATTAGCTAATGAACATTATCGTAAGTGGAACTGGGGAACCACCTGAAGAGTTTGAATTGACATTCTCGATAGGATTTTTTTTCTGATGGGTACCATATTTCCTCTATATTTAGTGTATGACGACTACGCTGGGCCAGCGTCCCGGGTTTATCAATTTGCGATCTTTTCTAAATTGGTTCTGGTCTATTGAACAATGGAAGCAACTGTCTCGGTGTGAAGTAACGCCACACCTCGAAAAGGATGCCAAGTTTCCTGGCTGCATTTTTGACCGTGGATTCTATGTATCTGCCGAAATTCAAATTGGACGACAGGTCCATTCCAAGTAGATGAAGATGGTCGGCTATCGGTACGGATAGATGATGATTTAAAAATACATTATTATTTTTCAAAAGCAAATTCTATTCGACCACATTTATGATTATTGTTCAATTTAGAAATGGGGATAAACGCGATTAAACAATTTAATATGCATTTGCACACCTACGTATTACAAGTCACGTAAAACGCGTCATTTCGACCGAGACGAGTATTTATCATATATATGGATACTTAAGTCGAGGGTAATATGGGTTTTATAAACGAGTTATATACTCTGCTTTTCACTTTGATTGCAAGGAAATTAAAAAGCATTATTACAAATAAACTGTTATTTAATTAAAATTGAATGTAAAATTACAACAGTTAGACATATAACACGGATTAAAGAAATAAAAGTAAAACTTTATTTTATAAAGTTCTAGTGTGCGTGGCTGTTGGCGCAGGCGTCATTGCCTCGGTCTTAAACGACTATGTAGGTGTATTAACACCTTTTAAATTCTTTACAGTACCGGCACGCTATGATGGCCGTTTTGACGTTTGTCCGCTCATCAAGTTTCGTATTAATTCATAACTACGTTGAAGGAGCTGTTTGCTGTACATTATTGTCAATAGTGACGTGCAGTAAAATTTGTGGATGTATAATTTTACGACACAACTCGACATTTGTTGTTCGAAATTAGACATTTTTAAAATTTAAAATCTAATACGATGGTCACTTATGGGATAGCTGGCCAGCACAATTTCTACCTCCGGCAAACTCGCGTCAAAGCTCAAAAGAAACAGTTTCGAGTTGACGACATATTAAGTAAACATTTTTATTTTCGAGTTCTTAGGTTTTCGCGATTGTTACACATAGGAAATGAAAATATTTTTCCGGATTTAAATAAACGTCGGTTTGTTTGAAAAAACAAATATACCCGATTTAAATGCGGAAAAATAGTTTCCTTTCCTATTTTTGTTTTCGTTTTAATAAAACGCTCAGCTACCCCTTGCAATACTAATAATAAAAAGACTTATAGACGTGACTCCATTTAATTATATTTTTCTCGATAATTAACTGAGATTTGACCTTACTATTGTAATCTGTCAAAACGGCCACCATATCATGCCGGAACGTAATTGCTTTTATTCCCATTTTTAACCAACTACCAAAAAAGGTGGAGGTTTTCAAAACGAAGTATGTTTTTTTTGTATGTCTGTTACGCGATAACCCCTTTTGTGAACAGATTTGTGCCGAAATATTTGTAAACCCATTTTGATGATTCTTTTTTTGTTGGAAAGAGGGTACCTCAGATGTGGTCCCAATTAAATTTGAAGAAAATATTTCACAAACTAACGTAGTAAGGTGGCAAACTAGGAGATGAATGACTTTTGAGGTCGGTTTTAGTTTTTTGAGTAATGCGCACTTTATCGCTTGGCGACAGAAATAGGTAAAGTGGTACTTCCCTGGACGATTATTATGTGAAATTTGATGACTCTTAAATAGGTTTAAGCATGGGTCCTAGTTGCCTGAAATAAATAAATAAATAAAATAAAAATCTATCGAAGAATTTCTTTAGGACATTCTTTAACCCGCTCTAAAGTTGTCAGTTTGCGGTCTTATTACAATAAGAATGGGACTTCATAACATTTACTTAAAATCGGCAACAGATCACTCACTTGTTCTCTCTAGCCGCAGGGGTGTGATGGATGAATAATGCGAACGAATTGCGAAGCTTCTAAAATGCTTCCCTTGTGATGTGTAGCGTGATTAGTAACGACCACCGTATTCCCGCGTAAGTCTGGGACACGCAGCAATCTTGGTATTGTGATAAAACTATTATCTAGTTTATTGTGAAATTCAGATTATAAGTACCATCATCTAATTTATTATACGTGAACTAAAGTCTAATATTGATATACGGTTTAAATTTTGAGAAAAATGATACTTTGTGTTGGTTTCTGCATTCGGGACACGCCACCGTTGATAGGTTTTAGGCATCTCGGATATTTTTTCATTAGGTCCGAAAGGTTTATTGGGAAGATTTTGTGCTCTCCATACACAATACACAGTATTTTTTGTAGATACTTGTTTCGATAAATACGTGGAGTTTAATGTTAGTTGTAGTGTAGTTAGTTTAGTGCATGGACACAGAAAATTGCGGCAACGAAAATGCACCAGCTTAAAATAAAATAAAACGACTTATAATTAACTCAATATTTTATTCGGGAGTAATGAATTTCATATAATAAATACACAATACCATACGATTGTCAACATCTTATAAGTTTACAAACATACAGCTAAAATCACAATTACAAAAAAGAAAAAAAAAACGGAAAAACATAGTTATAAAAAGTGAAAAAAAGAGTAACCATGAATAAATCTACTTTGTGAACTGTTCATCGTTCAGAAACGTATCTACCACATAAATACAACGAAAAAACATTTTTATTTTCGAAACAAAAAATAAACATTCTAAAAAAACAAACAGTTTTAAATGCTACATCATATATATCTAAACACTGACTCCTTAATATTATTATGATATTACATATTACATGTATGTTAAAACTTTATTATTTAAATATAATATACGATAAAATATAATCAACTATATTGTTAAATCACAATTCTCCTAATTATAACATTTAATACATTTTTTAATTAATATTGCACAAAGTAGTTTGTGACCATGAAAATCAGTTACCCAGGTTTTTTACTTGCCATACTTTTTATATGTATATACAAGATTATTTGTAAAATGCTAACATCCTCGCACGGCTATAGTAATCTATTAATAACATTATAAACAACAACTTTCTTTACCACTTTGTTCCGTGACCTTTAATAATGCATCAGATTTTACATTTAAATAGATCGCTCTAAATGGTGAAATAAAAAAGAACGCACTAGCCGAAATACCAGGTCGACGCAAAACCCAAGAACCGGGAGTCG